GCATGCCCAAATCCTGAGAGTGTAGAAGAGATTGTGGCGTGGCCATCTCCCCTGCAGGGACCCTTCCTTTCTCACTTTCCTCCGCTCTGTGTCTGTCTCCAGCAAACGCTCTCGCTTCCTATAACAAAAACAAAAACAAACAACAACAACACAGGCTTTGGAAGTCAGGGTAGGTGTGAGGCCGGGACCTGCCATGTAACTGTGGACTAGTGCCTTAGAAACTATGAGTCCCAGTTCCCCAGCTGTGAAGAGCGCCCTTCTGCAGCAGCTGCAAAGAAGATTGGATGAGCTAACCGGTGCCCGGGGCTTGGCACAGGCGCTGGCCCAGCAGGTGCCCAGGTGAGGAGAGGGTGCGATGCTCGGCTCCTGCCGCGGGCATCAGTAGGAGGGGACTTCGAATTCAGAGGCTTCTGGGGTGGGTATCTTATTCTTTTTTTTCTTTTTTCTTTTTTTTTTTTTTGAGAGGTTTTTGCTATAGGGCACATGCACTCACCAGAAAGACAGAGACAGAGAGACAGAAAGCGAGAAAGCACCCCCCAGGGGGGGATGGTCAGACCGCAATCCCTTCTCCTCCATTCTCCTCTCAGGATCTTGGGCACACATGCACACGCCCGGCGTGAATTTAAGCCACCGGGTCCGGGACTCGAATAACGGTCGACTACATGGGAGATCAGCAACATAACCATTACGCTAACTGCTGGTCCCCGGTATCTTATTCTTCACATTCTAAAATAACACGTTCATTATAGTAAATCTGGAAACTACAGAAGAACAGGAAGGAAACTAAAGCTTCTATTTCACTACCAAAGCCAGCTGCTCTCAATACCCTAATGTTTTTCCATATGGAATTTTTTCCAGGTGTGTTTGGGGGTTTTTATTTGTTTCTTTGCTTTGGCTTGCTCTGGCTTTGGGTTTTCTCCACCGTGTTTGGGCCCTTTGTGTCAGGAGGTAGGATCCAAAGAAAACTGGGGAGTCTGCTGGCCCAGCCTCTGTGGTCGATAAACCGGGAGGTTCTGGCACAGAAGAGCTGGGTGACTCTCCAAGGTGAAGAGATGGCCGAGAAGGGATGGAAGTTACCCAGGGTTTGTGCTTCTTAACCACCAGCCGGAACCTCCCTCCAGGCTGAAGAGGAGTCCATCCTGAATCTGGGCCTCCCAGTGTGGGGGAGTTCCTGGGGGAAGGGCTTCCATGATCTCCCTGGTTCCCTTAATAAAGACTGTAGCTCTGATTATCCCCCCCCCGCAGGCGGGCAGGGTTTGATCGGATGGATTTTTCCAAGCTAGGCTGCTGGCCTGTCCCAGCAGGAGCCACGGGGACTGGGAGGGGACCATTCCTGGACAGTCAGGGGAGATGAGGTGTGTCCCTGAGACCCTCCGGCAGGGGGCAGGTAGCAGCTTTGCCAGGAGCAGGTTGGGGGAGGGGGGTCATCAGTGCCCCCACCCCACATCCTGTTTTCGGAAGGAGGGGCCCCAGCACACGCTTTTTCCTTTGGACTTTATCCAAGGCAGCCCCCACCCAGGCCTGCTCCCAGGGGAACTCTGCATGAGGGTGGGGAGGGTTCCCCAGCACACCCAAGCAGGACTACCCTACAGTTTTCCAGGCTGGGCTGGGCCCCCGAGTCATGAGGTTGAAGGGTACAATTCCTAACCCTTCCTAACGCAGGCCTGGGGGGGTCCCGTGGGCAGAAGCAAAACCCTGCACCCCCTGTCCCTGCCGACATGGAAAGGAAATGTCCTCAAGGAGAGGAGTCCTAGTGCCCCTTACCCTGGGAAGGGTGGCATGGCCATCTGAAGGCACTCTGCCCTCCGCCTCACGTAAGACTGGGGACTCTTGGGCACCACCTGGGAAGCCTAGCCAGGCCTGAAGGACAGTTCCTTGCCAGGTTAAGAGCACAGGCTCCAGGGACTGGCTTGGTGGTGCAGTAGTTACACAACATCGAGTCATATGGAAGATCACAGGTTCAGGTCCCTGGTCAGCCTGTAAGAGATCCTGGCTGGCTGGGAGGCTTCAGGTCGGGGTCAGCGCATGAGATCCGATCCTGCTGAGGGTATTTGTCTCTGTCTCTCACTCTCATGAAAGAAACTTTTCTAAAAAGCATGGGTAAAGGGGCTAGCAGATGGCATAGTGGCTATCTGGACTTCTACATGGTTAAGGTGCTAGACTCCCACATGGCCAACTGTGGTTCAAGTCCCGGACCTGGCAACTTGAACTTCATGGATGCCTCTGTGTGCATGCCCAAAATCCTGAGAGGAGAATGGAGGAGAAGGAATTGCGGGATAGCCATTCCCCTACGGGGTGCTTTCTCACTTTCCTTTTCTCTCTCTCTGGTGAGCACACACACCCTATTGCAAATTTTTAAAAAGGGGGAGGGCATGAGGAGCCAGCAGATGGCTTAGCAGTTACCGTAAGCCATCCCACATGTTCGAGTCCCAGACCCGGCAGCTTGAAAAGCACACAGAGCACACGTGCGTGCATGCCCAAATCCTGAGAGTGTAGAAGAGATTGTGGCGTGGCCATCTCCCCTGCAGGGACCCTTCCTTTCTCACTTTCCTCCGCTCTGTGTCTGTCTCCAGCAAACGCTCTCGCTTCCTATAACAAAAACAAAAACAAACAACAACAACACAGGCTTTGGAAGTCAGGGTAGGTGTGAGGCCGGGACCTGCCATGTAACTGTGGACTAGTGCCTTAGAAACTATGAGTCCCAGTTCCCCAGCTGTGAAGAGCGCCCTTCTGCAGCAGCTGCAAAGAAGATTGGATGAGCTAACCGGTGCCCGGGGCTTGGCACAGGCGCTGGCCCAGCAGGTGCCCAGGTGAGGAGAGGGTGCGATGCTCGGCTCCTGCCGCGGGCATCAGTAGGAGGGGACTTCGAATTCAGAGGCTTCTGGGGTGGGTATCTTATTCTTTTTTTTCTTTTTTCTTTTTTTTTTTTTTGAGAGGTTTTTGCTATAGGGCACATGCACTCACCAGAAAGACAGAGACAGAGAGACAGAAAGCGAGAAAGCACCCCCCAGGGGGGGATGGTCAGACCGCAATCCCTTCTCCTCCATTCTCCTCTCAGGATCTTGGGCACACATGCACACGCCCGGCGTGAATTTAAGCCACCGGGTCCGGGACTCGAATAACGGTCGACTACATGGGAGATCAGCAACATAACCATTACGCTAACTGCTGGTCCCCGGTATCTTATTCTTCACATTCTAAAATAACACGTTCATTATAGTAAATCTGGAAACTACAGAAGAACAGGAAGGAAACTAAAGCTTCTATTTCACTACCAAAGCCAGCTGCTCTCAATACCCTAATGTTTTTCCATATGGAATTTTTTCCAGGTGTGTTTGGGGGTTTTTATTTGTTTCTTTGCTTTGGCTTGCTCTGGCTTTGGGTTTTCTCCACCGTGTTTGGGCCCTTTGTGTCAGGAGGTAGGATCCAAAGAAAACTGGGGAGTCTGCTGGCCCAGCCTCTGTGGTCGATAAACCGGGAGGTTCTGGCACAGAAGAGCTGGGTGACTCTCCAAGGTGAAGAGATGGCCGAGAAGGGATGGAAGTTACCCAGGGTTTGTGCTTCTTAACCACCAGCCGGAACCTCCCTCCAGGCTGAAGAGGAGTCCATCCTGAATCTGGGCCTCCCAGTGTGGGGGAGTTCCTGGGGGAAGGGCTTCCATGATCTCCCTGGTTCCCTTAATAAAGACTGTAGCTCTGATTAGCCCCCATCCCCCGTTTCCAGATGGGACACACTATGGGTGTGGGTGGGGTGGGGGAGGCCTGGAAAGGGAGGGCCGGCCAGCCCAGCAAGGGGTGTGGTCCTGCATCTGTCCCCAAAGGTGGAGTCAGCCAGCAGGGTCACCCTGTCCCTTTAAGAGAAGGGGGAGAGCTAGCCCCTCTCAGCCATCCTGTCCTGTCATCCTCCCGGCCAAATCTGAAAGAGAAAATGGAAGAGGGACCAGGAGGAGCAGGTCCCAGCGATCTCCCAAGGCCCCTGGCTCAGCACTAAATCCCGGGCCCAGCCCCAGGGTGAGTGGGGTCAGGTGAGGGTCTGGGGGCTCCAGGAGCCCGTGGGGACCTGTAGGAGTATGTGTCCCGGGGAGGCCCTCAGGAGATGTGAGGGTCTGGAAGCAGAGCCATGCCAGGGCTAGGAAGGAGGCGAGAAAGAGCTGGGGCCTCTGGGGCCAGCAGATGGCATGATGGGTATGCCACTGGACTCCCATGTAGTCCACTGTGGTTCAAGTCCCAGACCTGGACCCAGCAGCTTAAAACTCATGCCGGGCCCATGTACGTGTGTGCCCAAGATCCCAAGAGGAGAATGGAGAAGGGATTGTGGCATGGCCTTCCCCCCGGGGGGTGATTTCTCACTTTCTGTCTCTCTATCTGGCAACCACGCGCCCTCTGGTAAAAATCTCTCTTAAAATAAAGATCTGGGCCCTCATTCCCACCATGTGGTGGGGAGAGGAGACAGGGAACACTGAGGACAAAGGATCCTGATAGAGTTATAGAATTGGGGCTGCTTTTGTGACAGCTCTCTGATCCTGAGAGTAATTCGCTGCAGGTAAAGGGGCATGAGAAGTGGGGGGTAGGAAAAGGAGGCGGGGCCTCACTGGATCTGAGACAACCTCCTCCACAGGGGCACCACACTGGGTCTGGGGTCCTGGGTTGGACAGTATTCTCGAGCATAGGGCCCCCGCTGGGTGTCAGCTTCCACAGTGCACCTCAGGGGCTGGCCCTGGTGACCGCTAAGACTCCTTCCAAAGAATCTAGAATCTGGAGGATCACAGCGCCCGACCAAGGCGCCCATGGGTGTCTGGAGAAAGCATCAGAGTAGGGCTCCTCCCGACACCCGTCAGCTCCAAAGACAGGGGATCCCATGACTGTAGTCAGACAGACCCTTGCTCAAGCTCCCGCAAAACCCTACTAACCGCAGGTCTCTGGGGCCCCAGCTTATCCTGAAGTTAGAGATCTTCCTAACCCCACCCCATGGGTAGGACAGGTTGCGGTGGGGGTCCCTGATCTGTCCCGGTCTCTGACTGTCCCGCCCTGCGTCCTCAGCGCCATGGGGGAGTGGGCGTTCCTGGGCTCGCTGCTGGACGCGGTGCAGCTGCAGTCGCCGCTCGTAGGCCGCCTCTGGCTGGTGGTCATGCTGATCTTCCGCATCCTGGTGCTGGCCACCGTGGGCGGCGCCGTGTTCCAGGACGAGCAGGAGGAGTTCGTGTGCAACACGCTGCAGCCGGGCTGTCGTCAGACCTGCTACGATCGCGCCTTCCCGGTCTCCCACTACCGCTTCTGGCTCTTCCACATCCTGCTGCTCTCAGCTCCCCCGGTGCTGTTCGTCATCTACTCCATGCACCAAGCCAGCAAGGAGGCGGGCGGCACGGAGGCGGCGGCGGTCTGTGCCCGCGGGCCGCCC